AAAAAAAAAAAAAAAAAAAAAGCCAGGCATAGTGATGCGTGCCTGTAATCTCAGCTACTCGGGAGGCTGAGGCAGGAGAATCGTTTTGAACCCGGGGGGGCAGAGGTTGCAGTGAGCCAACATCACACCATTGCACTCCAGCATAAGCAACAAGAGTGAAACTCCATCTCAAAAAACAGAAAAAGAAAAAGAAAACTGAGCTTTCCTCCACAATCCTCTCTTGGCCCCTCAATCCTGCTGGGCACCTACTACATAATTGTTTTATTCTCTCGCATTTTACATGCTAGCCTACTATTTACATTTTTATATTTATTTAAGTAAATGATGCCAATTTGATTATTTTTGAAATTAGAATTGATCCAAGAAAGGACTGAAAAGCAGGTACCTCAGTTTTCCACTGACTTCCAACTTTCCTGCTTAGATCCTTCCTCCTAGACCCCTCCACACCCCTCCTAAGACACACCTAGAAGGGACTGACATCGTGTCGCCTCCTCATTTTTCAGGGTAACAATGTTGGAATCTCAGTGTGGTCCAACGGGATCACATTTATAAGTACCTAAAGTAAGAAGCAACGTTCTTTGAAAGTTTGTAAAAATATTCACTATAAACAAAATAGAATCAGATGCTTTGAAGGAAGTGGGGTCTTTGATAATTTTTTTTCACTGTCTTCCTTATTTACTGGTCAATTTGTATTCTCTATGGACTTTATTTTTCCAAAGCAATTTCAGACCTGTTGATCTCATTTGATCTTAAGAGCTTTGCTATAAGGCAGATTATATCATCCCCATATTGAAGGCAAGGAATTGAAATCCAAAAGAGGCAGCGTCCTTAAAGCTGCTTACTTACATGGTAGGGTAGGTGGTGTGTCCATGCTCCCAGTGTAAGGTTCCCAGACTGAGCCCTGCTGACCCTGTTAACAGCCCTATGGAAGAAGCTGGTATCCCCTGTGCATCTCAGGACTCACAGACCTTTGGGAGAAAGTAAGTATGAATGGGTGCTAATTTTAAACACACCCTTGGACAAAGGCAAGACAGGCAGACTCCAGGCCTCCTTTGAGTTCTGGAATGGGTACTCTAGTCCCTCTAAATGATGTCACCGAATGGCCTTTTACACACGGAGATAGCACTTCTTCCACAATAGCCCATGTCCTGTGTGTGTGTGAGGTGTGACAGAACTGGGGAAATTATAATCCCCGTAGATGGGCCAGCAGAATATCTGAGATCACCTTCAGAGCAAAGGAAACACATCATCTTCCCAAACCTCATGACCTATCTGACTGCTTAAAATGAGTATCACTGTCCTCCATCTGTCATCTTAAGTGCATCACAGGCTTTATATTTTCAGACCTTTCACACTAACCGTCTGCCCGGTGAGTGATGACTCATACAAAGCTCAGCGTCCATTGGCTCTTTTCTCAGACTCTGTCCAATCCCAGGGTCACAGGAGACTACTTGGTTCATGGTCTCTAATATTTCAGACAGGAGCTCCCCTTAGGGAGTCCTTCTTTTCCTGGCTGCAGCTCTTTTCATTTTGCCACCTTTTTCCAGCTCCATGATGGTTCTGCAGGTTTCTGGGGCCCCCCAGACAGTGGCTCTGATGGCATTACTGATGGTGCTGCTCACACCTGTGGTCCAGGGCAGGGCCACTCCAGGTAAGAGCACAGCTGCCATTCCTGAAGGGTCTGGCTCAGGGAACAATTCCTAGGGGACTTTATCTTTAAGGGATAAGACTCAGACAGGCTGTGAGGGCTCCTGCCCTAAGCCAGTGTCCTCCCTTCCTAGCTAGAGAAAGAGGCTCATCCCCAATAGGGTAGGTTGCTACCCTACAGCCCTATTCTCTCTCCAAGGACATGGGTACAGCAAACAGAGAGAGGTGCCCGGTGGCCAGTATGCTTGTCTTTGGGGAAATGGGGTCAACAGGTCCAGGATAACCTTGGATGGACAACGTTTGCAGAGAGAGAAGTTGGCAATTGCAGGCCCCTGGGACTGTTCACATCTGCTTCCAGCCTGGAGGGTCTCAAGCAGAGAGCCCTTACTTGGAGTGTCCAGGCTCTGAGGGTCACTGAGGATTCAGTGCTCATGGATAATGCCTCTCATTCTCCAGGGTGCAGCAGGAGCCCACACCCCTTGGACAATGAAGGCAAGATGGGAGGGAGGGTTGGGGACAAGTTCTGGCCTCTGAAGGCACTCTCTTTAAAGGTACTTCTCCCAGCTTCCCCAGTACTTGGTTAGAGTATTGGGGTGGGTTGAGACTTGTAGGAAGAATGAGATGAGGACGTGGTGGGTGCATGAAAGGGATTGAGTGTAGGTTATCAAACAGCAAAGGAAGCAGTAACCAAGTAAAGAATCTCTTCTTCCCGCTGCCTCCCTGTGGCTGGTGTAATATTAAGGCTTCTATGATCCATGTTTTTCTCTCAACACACTCTTATCTTTCTAGCCCAAATTTACACCAACACCCTGAGAGGAAGGACCGCAAAATAGGTGCCTTAGTTTTCCACTGACTTCCACCTTTCCTGCTTAGATCCTTCCTCCTAGACCCTCCACACCCCTCCTAGGACACACCTAGAAGGGACTGACATCATGTCACCTCCTCATTTTTCAGGGTAACAATGTTGGAATCTCCTGAGGACAGCCCCTCAAACCCCAAAGCCCCTCACCTATTACCTTGGGCTCATAGTCTGGGAAGGGGTGGAGAACTTGCGCTTGTAGTCACAGAGAGGTGCTGAGAACTAACCAGCAGGATGGCTCAGCCCTAGGAACTGGAGAGGGGTGAGGCTGGGGAAAGAGGAGGCTGAAGCAACACTGGTGACACTGAACAGTCCCCAGCAGGAGGGGAGGGAACGCAGCAACCCCATCCCATAGGCAGAGCTGTTGTGTGGGATGAGGGGCAGTGTTGGGAGCCACCAAGGAAACCCAGAGGTGAGGGAGAAGAGAGCAGAGGGGGGCATGTGATGGTGGGCAGTGAATGGGTAAAGGGGCAAAGGCTGGGTTGAGGTTGGTAGTGGAAATGAGATGAGGCAGTGGAGCCATGTGACAGGGACTGAGAGTGGGTTACCAGAGCTCCCTGCATAGAAGAATGTTCAATCAAAACCTGCTGGAGGGAGAGCTGGAGCCAAAGGTCAGTGGGTAGAATGGGCAGGGCCGATTCCGCAATGCTCTGCATGCTCCTCCAACTCCACACACATCCCCATCCTCAAACAGGGCACAAGAGAAAAGGGCCAAGGAGCCAGGATGTGGCTTAAAGAGGCTGGGGGAGAAAAGCTTGGCTAAGACAACGCATAGGGAGCTGGAGGTTTTTCATATATCCTCTTTTGAGTGAAGAGATGAATTCACTCAGATCAATAGTTTTCAAACTGTGCTCTGGCAACTCAATTATTAAGGGTTCCACAAGCAGGATAAAATTTCTTACATACAAAAAAACGAAGGTTTCAAATTATACCACAAAGCCCCTCATCACTTATGTCTACTTGGCAGGTAAAATTCCACTTAAAAAGTTAAATGTATATATTTAAAAAAAAAAAAAAAAACTAAGACTGGGTAAAATAAAAAAAAAAAAGAATCAAGTGTTGCAAAGAAAAATTTCAAAACTCTTATTCTTGAGTGAAAAATGTTCTCATACTGGTGAATGAGGAGGAGAAACAAAGACTAACAAATGAAAATGGGAAGATCCACACTCAGAGCCGGACAATTGAACAGGGAGCGGGGAGTGGGTGGCAAGAAAGGAGGAATCTGGACTCAAGGGGCTGGGGTAGGGGCGCTGGGCCTGGGAGTTTAGGGGGCTGGAGTACAAGGTTCCAGAAGAAGAGGCAGATCTGGGTATCTGAGTGAAGACCTGGGATCTGCCTTAGCAATGACAATGGACACGGAAGGTGGACTCCATGGTGTCCCTGAGCCCAGCCCCACCCCTTCTCTACTATCCTCTGCCACCAGCTGTGCAGCTTCTGTGAGGGGCGGGGTTAATAAACTGGAGAAGTTAATTTGCAAAGCATGAGACAGATGTGTGGAACAATCACAGCACCTTAATTTCCCCAATTGTGCCCAAGAACAGAGCAGGCCTGAAAAGACTCAAACAGAAAGGAGCATGCGCCGTGTCACTGATACTTCTGTGTAGACACATGCCTGCCAGGCACTGCTCATGCACTCCCTAGGAAGAACAGCATGTGGGAAAGGCTGCCAAATTTCGTTGTGTAAAAATTACGTCAATGCTCTCTTCCTCGGCGCTGTCTACAGAAGTGGCAGCCATGTCCTCCTCCCCAACATGGCCTCCCTCAGACTGCTCATGAAGCCCAAGATTGTCAAAAAGAGGACAAAGAAGTTCATGCAGCACCACTCAGGCCGATACACCAAAATTAAGCATAACTGGCGGAAACCCAGAGGTGTTGACAACAGGGCTCATAGAAGGTTCAAGGGCCAGATCTTGATGCCCAACATTGCTTATGGGAGCAACAACAACAACAACAAAAACACACATGCTGCCCAGTGGCTTCTGGAAGTTTCTGGTCCACAACATCAAGGAGCTGGAAGTGCTACTGATGTGCAACAAATCTTACTGTGCTGAGATCACTCAAAAGGTTCCTCCGAGAGCTGCAAAGCATTGTGGAAAGAGCCACCTAGATGGCCATCAGAGTCACCAACCCCAATCCCAGGGTATAGAGTGAAGAAAATGAGGAGACAGCTCAGGTCCACATTTTGTGTTTAAATAAAACCATTAAAAATTGCCCAAAAAACATTACATCAATGCCTCTAAACCCAAAGGACTCCAGCCCCGCAGGTCACTGGTTGTTGTGGGGATTTTCATTGATTAAGATACTTTCGACATCTTTTGACACCAAGTCTTTCTGCAGCCATGTTAGAAAATTATCTTTCAGAAGGGCCGGGCACGGTGGCTGACGCCTGTAATCCCAGCACTTTGGGAGGCCGAGGTGGGCAGATCATGAGATCAAGAGATCAAGACAATCTTGGTGAAACACGGTGAAACCCCGGTCTCTACTAAAAATACAAAAATTAGCTGGGCATGGGAGTGCATGCCTGTAATCCCAGCTACTTGGGAGGCTGAGATAGAAGAATTGCTTGAACCTGGGAGGCAGAGGTTGCAGTGACCCGAGATCGTGCCACTGCACTCCAGCCTGGCAGCAGAGTGAGACTCCATCTCAAAAAAAATCGAAAATTAACTTTCAGGCTATAGAATGTTTCTTTTTTCTTTTTTTTGAGACAGAGTCTTGCTCCGTCGCCAGGCTGGAGTGTAGTGGCGCTCTCTCGGCTCACTGCAACCTCCGCCTACAGGCGGGACTACAGGCACGTGCCACAATACCCAGCTAATTTGTGTTTATTTATTTATTTATTTTCAGACGGAGTCTCACTCTGTCACCAGGCTGGGGTGCAATGGCAAGATCTCAGCTCAGTGCAACCTCTGCCTCCTGGGTTCAAGCGATTCTCTTACCTCAGCCTCCTGAGTAACTGCAACTACAGGCGCCCACCACCACGCGCATCTACTTTTTTGTATTTTTAATAGAGATGGGGTTTCACCGTGTTAGCCAGGACGGTCTTGATCTCCTAACCTTGTGATGCCATCCGCCTCGGTCTTCCAAAGTGCTGGGATTACAGGCGTTGAGTCACTGCCTGCCCCAGAGTCTTTCTTATACCAAAATTGAAGAAAGTTTTAAGACATATATTTCTACATTTTCTAAATGCAAAACAACAGGAGCAGGTGGAAGAGTTCTCAAGAAAGTGGCAGAGAAGACAGAGGGCCTAGCTGTGGAAAAGAGAAAGAAGGAAAGGAGGGCTTCCTGGAGGAAGTGGCATTTAAGCCAGGACTCACATCAGGATGGAGATGTCAGGCAGGGAGTTAGGTTAGGGGCAGCAGCTCTGCCCTCCATGTCCCCAGCTCCTTCCTCCCCTGCTGTTTCTCCCAGGGACCCATAGGAAACATCTCCTCCTTCTCCTCCAGCCCCCAGCAGAAGGAACTGCCCTCCCCTCAGTGCTGGCCCCTCCCTAGTGATCACTCAGTCCCCCAGAGCAGTGAGTCTCATTCATTCCAGTAAATCCTCTCGCTGCTGGTGAGAAAACTGAGGCCTGGAGAGGCTCTGCGACCTGCCTAGGACCACAGAACTCGGTAGCAGGAAAACTCTTATTTTAAAATCCAGGCCTGAGTGGGAAGATTTGGGAAGAATCGTTAATATTGAGAGAGAGAGAGAGAGAGAGAGAGAGAGAGAGAGAGAGAGAGAGGATTAGGGGAGAGTGCTCCCCCGCTTCATGGCCGCCCCTTCCCGCAGAGAATTACATGCTCCAGGTCAGGGACGAATGCTATGCATTTAACGGGACACAGCGCTACCTGGAGAGAAACATCTACAACCGGGAGGAGTTCGTGCGCTTCGACAGCAACGTGGGGGAGTACCGGGCAGTGACAGAGCTGGGACGGCCTGACGCGGAGTACTGGAACAGCCAGAAGGACTTCATGGAGCGGAAGCGGGCCGAGGTGGACACAGTGTGCAGACACAACTACGAGCTGGACGAGGCTGTGACCCTGCAGCGCCGAGGTAAGTGACGGCTTTGGGCCAGGGGTCCCAGGACAGCCACAGGGGCTGGGCCCAGGGCTGGGTGGCAGCCAGGCCAGCCTAAGGGACGTTAGTGCTAGGCAGCAAGGGGACTTTGGGCTGGGGATTCATGGGGAGAACCCATCTGGAGCATGTCAGGGGAGCCAGCACGGGGACCTGGACTGGGCTGAGCATGGAGTGAGGAGGATGGGCACAGAGAGACCCTGGGGACATTATCAGGCCTGGCAGCTGACTGCATGTGGGGCGAGGGAAGGAGGCCACAGGACAGCCTGCAGGGGTGTAGTGTGGAGATGGAGGTGCAGATGGCACATCAGGCCACACAGAGAAGAAACCTGCAGGGAGATGGCAGGGTTTGAGGTGCTGGAGGGGCCAGATGGATGGTCTGATGGGCAGATAGAGAGACGGGTCTGCAGCCAGGGAGGGGCCTGGGCTACATGAGACCACACAGGGAGAGGGGACCCAGGGGCAAGAGCAAAGGTCTGGATCCTGGGAACTGGAAAGATGTGATTTGGCCAAGAGAGAAAGGCCTGTGAATAAGACAAGAAAACAAAGTGCAGTGTGAGAACAGGCCTGCAGAGGAGAGTTCTGGAAGCTGAGGTAGGGGGCCGCAGCAGCACAGGGGAGAGCGGTGCCGGTGACTTGGGAAGGTCAGAAAACGGAAGACGGAAAGTGGGTTTGGAAACCGGGGCCGCCTGGGGAGAGCAGGTTGGCTGCAGGGGTGGGAGCTGGGATGAGAGGGAGTGAATGAGGCTGAGTGTGGAGCATCCTCCTCGGGGCTGAGATGGATTTTACTTGTCTTGGGTTCCCCATGGTTGGCACAGGGCAGTGTTTGAGCTCATTCGTCTCTTCCTTCAGGAAGTCTGGGTGTAAAGGGATGGAGAGAGGTGAGGTGTGGGCAGTAAGAGGATTTCTCAAGGATGAGACAGGAGAGGCTTGGAGCTTGGGCTTCCTTCTGTGAACATGTGAGGTGGGGAGCCTGCTGCACCAACCTGAGGGACCCGGGGGAATAGCGTCAGGGGATGGGAGTGAGCCCTGGACCTTTGTCCTGGAGACAGGAATAAATGAAGGGAGGAGGAGGAGGCTAGGGAAATCACAACTTCGATCCCCTTTTTTTTCTGGAAAGTGGAAGGAAGTTCACCTGCCAGGAGGGAGAATGTGGACACATTGGGTGGGGATGAGGTGAGTGACATGGGTTTAGGAAAGTCGCTGAGGTAATGGTTGAGAGAGGTGTGCAAATAAAAATACTGAATTGGAAAAAACTGTTACTAAGACTTTGTAGAGGCACAAATCAGAGACATGGCAGCATTCTTTTCATGGTAATCAGCTGCCAGATTGCAGAGACCTGATGTCAGCCTAAGCAGTGTGGATGTCTCCTCAGGGCTCACAGGTCCCCAACCTCACTGCTCAGAAGACTCCTAGAGATCCTCTGTGTTGCACAGATGCCCAGACTCACTGCCCTGAGACTCAGACTCCCTGGGTGGGGAGGTCTGGGGAATCTGTGTTTGTAATCAGCTCCCTAGACATTCCCATATAGCCAAATAAGTATTGTCAGAACACTGAAGATTTTTGAAAAATGAAAAACAGAGGGGTAGAGCTGTGCCTTCAGAAGACTACTAAGGGTGTTGGGTAGAGAAGGGACCAGAGGCAGGGAGATGAGGCAGGAAACTGCTGTTATTGTCAGGGAAATTGCAATGAAGGCATGAATTAGAACAGGGAAAACACAGAGGCAGGGGAGAGGCGAGAAGGAGGAGGAAGGGAGTTGTGACAATTGCAGTGTGGATGCCCACCCAAATCTAGAAGTAATTGAGCAAATGTTCCTGGGCGTTAGAGAAGGCAACTAGAACAAACAGGAATCCTTGCCCTGGTGAAATGTATTTGAACTGGGTCAGAAATGAGGCCTTTGGGTATCAGGCCTTAGCTCCAGCGCCCCCTGGAGGTCTCCGACGTGCTCCGGGCTGACCGGCTCCTGTCAAAAAATATTGAGCAAGATGCTTCTCATGGAATGTTCTGGGACCTTAAAACAGACACCCAAGTATTCCGCCTGATTTCATGGTTCCCAGGAGCTCTATGGGGAAAAAATTGTACGTAATTACAGAGGTGATTGAAGTAGTGAGACACAGGTGTCCCTGAAATAAACTCACACTGAGGGAAGAAGAGGCTGGGAATGTGGATCAGTCTGTAAACAAGGCAAAAATAGCATAGGGAGTAAGGGTGTGCGTCAGTTCAAGACGGCACTTTTACCTGGCCCAGCCCCACGTCAGGGTATGTGTTCTCCAGGAAGTAGAAAGGAAAGAGCTGAGTGTGGGGACATAGAAGACTAGTTTGAGACATTCCTCTGAATGAGCTGTTCTCTAGGACCCGTTGGCCCTTTTCTGTGTTTGTTTTTTGTTTTTGTGTTTGCGTTTGCGTTTGTTTTGAGTCAAGTTCTGGCTCTGTCTCCCAGGCTGGAGGGCTGTGACGCAATCTTGGCTCACTGCAGCCTCAACCTCCTGGACTCAAGTGATCCTCCTGCCTCAGCCTCCCATGTAGCTAGAACTACAGATACACATACCACCATGTCCAGCTAATTTCTTTTTCTTCTTGGAGATGGGATCTCACTATGTTGCCAAGACTGATCTCAAACCCCTGGGCTCCAGTGATTCTCACCGCTCAGGCTCCCAAAGCGCTAAGATTACAGGCAGGACCACCATGCCTGGCCTTTTCTGCCTTTCTGAGGAGGAAGAAGGTACTGGTGGCAGAGATCCAAAAAAAAAGTTGCCGGCAGCAGTGAGGAAATTTACCTGCGAACGAGCTGGGGCACAAATACAGAGATGCAGAGGGTGCCAACACCTGGTTATCTGTGAGACCTTCACAGGACCTAAAGACACAGCTCAGAGGAGGAACTTGGAAAAGGACGGATTTCTACTGCTCAAACATGTAGAGGCTCAGGATAGTATGTGAATATGAAGATTTTAGGTTTTTGTAGGTGAGGTCAAAAAATACATAGGTTATTTGCAGAATAAGACACATCTAGCCCTCTTCATTTTCTTTGTATTTTCATGAAATAAAGTAATTAGATTAATAGGCCACCATCATGCCATTGTCTGCATATCTTCATTTCAAGATATTATTTGGGTAAATTTTGCATCCTTTGTATCAAGAAAGAACTTTGAAAAGTTAGGTAGTTTCACAGTTGATTAAATATTCTTTGACCAAATTGCTTTTAGTTAAAATTTCTCCTGAATGTGCTAGAGTGCTACCTCTGTATCCCTGCCATTCCCCTGTACACTTATTATTTTATTCAAGATCATGCATGCTGTACGTGAAGGTCTATTTCTATCTTTTCAGTGCTACCCTTACCCACTAGGCTAATCGCATTGTTCCTATTTTCGACATCTGGGAATCAATTACATAGTGAACATGACTAACAAATAATAATCTGGTCAGATGCAGTGGCTCATCCCTGTAATCCCAGCACTTTGGGAGACTGACCGAGCGGATCACTTGAGGTCAGGAGTTGGAGACCAGCCTGACCAACATGGTGAAACCCTGTCACTACCAAAAATACAAAAAAAATCACCAAGTGTGTTGGCAGGCACCTATAATCCCAGCCACTTGGGAGGCTGAGGCAGGAGAATTGCTTGAACACAGGAGGTGGACGGCCTGAACCCCTCTTTCAACCTCAGCCCTCAGGTGAGTGAGGAAAGAGCTAATATTGCGCTGCTGCACTCTAGACTGGTGACAGAGTGAGACTTTGTCATGAAGAAGAAAGAAAAAGAGAAAGAGAGAAGAAAGAAAGAGAGAAAGAAAAAAAGAGAAAGGGAGGGAGGGAGGGAGGGAGGGAGGAAGGAAGGAAGGCAGGCAGGCCTCAAATGCTATTTCATTATGTTTCTTCCCCATTCCTAGTCCAGCCTAGGGTGAACGTCTCCCCATCCAAGAAGGGGCCCTTGCAGCACCACAACCTGCTTGTCTGCCACGTGACAGATTTCTACCCAGGCAGCATTCAAGTCCGCTGGTTCCTGAATGGACAGGAGGAAACAGCTGGGATCGTGTCCACCAACCTGATCCGTAATGGAGACTGGACCTTCCAGATCCTGGTGATGCTGGAAATGACCCCCCAGCAGGGAGACGTCTACACCTGCCAAGTGGAGCACCCCAGTCTGGACAGTCCTGTCACCGTGGAGTGGAGTGAGTTACTCTTTAATGACTCTCTAGACCCCACCTTTGAAAAGCAGGGGACTCTCTGGCTCTGGGGTCCACTCATCTAGTCTTCTGCATCTATACCCTGGGGCCATGTCCAACCCCATCCTTCTTCTACACCAGCTCCCGAGCATAGCTTTAAGCCGGGGCAATGGAGACTTCCTGACCCTGGCTTAGGGGGTCCTGAGGATTCATAGTTCTCCCCCTTGTCAGAGAATCTAAGGACACAGACACCTTCCTGAACTGACCTCACCCATGGGAACAGTTCTCCTCCTTCAGCATTTCAGCCTATTGTGTCATTCTGAGAGGCAACTTCCAGAATCAGCATTTGCCACCTTGTTGAGGTCACACCCTATGTTCCAGATATGAGGGTGGCTCTTTCTGAATTTCCTCTTATCCAGGGTTTTTCCCCCTCACTGTCCTTGTCTCGATATTCTGCATCAGGCTCCAGAATCTCAGGCAGGACGTGGGTAGGGGTGCAGCTGGAGAAGGTGACACTGAATCTGGGTCTGTCCTTCCCAGAGGCACAGTCTGATTCTGCCCGGAGTAAGATGCTGACAGGAGCCGGGAGCTTCGTGCTGGGGCTCCTCATCTGCGGAGTGGGCATCTTCATGCACAGGAGGAGCAAAAAAGGTGAGAAAGCCTGCAGGGTGAGCAGGACTTACCTTCCCCTGCCATATTCACACATATTCCGTGGTGAGGGGTTCAGACAGAAAAGAAACGTCAGAAAGCTCTAGAGGCCACTGAAGTCAGATAGTCAGGGAACAAACATGACCTATAGGTAGAGAGGTATCCCAGGCTGGGGTCTTAATGCAGCCAGATGCATGAGGTCCCAGGTACTCAGGCTCCTGCGGGGCACCCATTGAGTGGTGGGCAATGGGAGTTGGTGGGATAGAAACGTTTCTCTAATTATCTGAGGTGGTTTCAATGGCTGAATACATAAACTTTCCTCTTTCATTTCAGCTCAACGAGGATCTGCATAAACAGGTAATATTCCCACTTTGATTTCCTTGCGGGGTGGGTTGCAGGAGGATATGACTCTTTTCTGTGCATTGTGACACTGAGGCTCCTCTAGGAAGAGAATCTCAGGCCTGAACCCCTCTTTCAGTCTCAGCCGTCAGGTGAGTGGGGAAAGAGCGCTGCATGGCTCCATTCCTGAAGGAAGCAGAGATCAACTGTGTTCTATATCAGACTTAGTCTCAGCCTCTCACCGTAATTTTTCTCTCCTGGGCCTTAAAGGAAGGAGGCCAGCCACCTGGGATAGTTTTTCCTTCACCCCCCACAGGGTTCCTGACCTTGCCGAAAAGACTAATTTTGTTAGCCCCAGCCGCTGCTTCCGGGACAGACACCCAGCTCCCCAAGAGGACGCTGCTGCCAAGAAGTTGCTCTGAAGCCAGTTTCTGTCATTCTGCTCTTTGATTCAATGCACGGTTTCTCTCACTGAATTCTTCTTAGTGCCATAAATAATCAAAACCCAACATGAGTGTTTGTTTCTTTCAAAAATAGGCACCAAATCATCTCTCATCACTTTTGTCTGAGGGTTTTAGTAAACAGTAGGAGTTAATAAAGAAGTTCTTTTTGGTTTACACATAGGAAAGAAGAAAACCATGAAAATGGGGATAGGTTAACTATTGTATAATGCAGCCTGTTACACGTGGCACTATTCTGAATTTAATGTATTTCAGTGAGCTGACCCCAAATCAAGTTTAGTGTCTTCATCCATTTAGGTCCCAGACCACTGTTCTTGTCTATTCAGTGGTGAGCAGACTGCAAATCTGCCTGATAGGACCCATATTCACACAGAACCGATTCAACGTATAACTGACTGAGACCACGTTTTATCATGACCATTAAGAAATTAAATGATCGGGGCGGATCATCTGAGGTCAGGGGTTCAAAACCAGCCTGGCCAACATGGCGAAACCCCATCTCTAAGAAAAATAAAAATAAAGAAGTTAAATGATCATCAGAATTTAAAATTATAAATATAATCTAATACACCTTAAACATTTACTTTGCATGTCATCACAAATACTCCTTAACCAAATATGGCTTGGCCTTTGAATGAATCAAGTAGTCGTCATTTATCCTCTAGGTCTGCATTCATCCACCAGCCTAGACCTCCTGTCTTAATTTTCATATAGACAAAATGCCTCTCCATTAAGGAAAGAGCAAAGCAATACATGTAGCACTCTTTTTCAAACACTGGTCTTTTTTTCTTTTTCTTTTTTACAGTCCAACATTGTTACATGTTTTGTGTCTCATGTTGTCACCTTTCAGTCAAGGTAGAGGACGTGTTTGGTGTAAGCTTTCTCTTTCACATAGGGGATGGATTCTTCACTCCTGATACACAGAATGAGCGCTCAGCAGCCCTCTGACACATCCAGTTGATGGCTTCCCTCTCCAGGGCATTTTATCAGTGTCTTCTGGGCCTTTTGTGTCCCTGGGCACTTGTCCCTGGTCAATTCCCACAAGCTACTTTGCTCCTCTCTCCCTCTTCCCCTTGCAAATAATGCCCTGCATCCAGGGACCAGCTTCCTCCAGTTCCAAGAGAGGTGGGGCTGAAGGTACAGACTTGGGCGCCACTGGCACAGATATAAGTAAATATGGCTGGAGTCTGCAGAGAGGATGGACAAGTGAGGAAGTCAGGAAAGAGAAGCCACCCACAAGGACATCCAATCATGTCTCACATAACCCTCTTGGCCTAGGGAGTAGGACACAATCATTTTTTCTTTTTAAAATGTACTTATCCCTGATTAGCCTCATTTCCTCAAAAACTATAAAGCAAAATACTGCTGCCTTGTTTTGTGTAGTAATTTCAGCTGTCGCATGAGGCCACAAGGACAGTACATAATAAATAAATGAGGACCCTTTATCTGTCTTATTTTCCCTTCTGGCTTCACAGCCAACTTGTGAGAAACCTATGCAGCAAAATTAATATGATTTTAATCCAGGATTCAACGATGGAAGGAGGTCATGAGAATTGCAGAATGGCCTCAAATTGAGATCACTGTGAAATCCTGATTCAAAGCACATAAATCCTACCCTCAGAGCCAATGATCAGTCAATATCACAAACCAAATCCAATCAGAGTCATTCTGTTTCATGCTTGTCGCCTGTACCCATGTTACAGGTCAGGGCAGTACCCAGAGTGGAGTGAGCAATCTCTGGATTAACACTTGGCAGGATCAGAAACTGAGGTGTCTGCACCCACGTTACAGGAACAGGATATGTGCTGCTAGGGAACTGAGGGTATGAGGAGATGAGGAAAAGCCCTGGAGTCACAGAAAGAAGGCATCGGATGTGTCTCACTCTGACATATGCAGGTATTTATTAAACTCTGGGATTTCTAAGAAAACATGCAGTGCAGAGAGAGGTCCCAGAGAAGACCAGGGAAGAGAGACCATCTAAACTGGGGATGACCTTGTCACTACACTTCAAATTTTAAGTATTTATAGAGTGTTTTCTAGGAGTCAGGTCCTTTACTGAGTGCAATGTGCAGCAGGATCAAAGGCAGCCAGGAGGTAGAGGAGTCTTGAAGTCAGTCATTAAAGTTGAAGAGCAGAGATTCAAAGGAAAACTGGGACCAGAGCTTTAAACGAGACCTGAAGCTGGTGACTCTTTTGTGTTGGCCTGTGACTCAGAAAGATTGACACCCGCAGTAGAACAAACCCAGTGGACTTAGGACTCCCAGCTGAGTGTTGTATCTCCGATCCCTTTTCACCTGGTCCCTTCATTCTTTACTCCTCACAATCCCCTAAGGAGAAGGTGGTCTATCTAACAGATGATGCTTCCGCAGTTGGTGATCAAGGGGTACCCTAAGCTGAAGTCATTTCACCCTCTCTTTGTCACCATTCAAGTAGCAGTGAGGCCCAGCCAGGGGATGGTGAAAGTGGAAGGAGGTGGGAGTTGGGCATGGGGTGTGAAGATGTTCCTTAAAGGGGTTCTAATAACCACTCGTACTACCAGGCCAGTCAACACTTATCATAGTTGACGCCCTTTGAGCATGTCATATTGTAAAGTGTCCCTGAAATTCCTGCTCACTTGGCTTATAAGATGAAACATCTTCCTAGTTCTCCTATCCTTCTGCTTATTCAAAGTCTTGTTGAGCGAGCACCTTCCCTTCTATTCCTCTTACACAGTAAGAATAGGATCAGCTGTGCTAAAGTAACAAATACCTGGATATTCAGGTTTAGCTCACACTACATGTCCAAACCAAGACTGCTGGGAAGCTCTGCTCATCATCTTAGGAAGCCAGGCTGACAGGCTTTCTCCTGCACATCTGCTCCCAGAATCTCCCCAGCAGAGCGAAGGGAACCTGAGAAATCATTCACTGACTGTCAGTGATCCCTCCTAGAAAGAACATACTTCTCGAATTTCATTTTCCGACATAAATCACATGGCTGCAACTAACTTCGAAAGAGTGGGAATCCTTGAAGGTGGAAAACATTTAAGAAGTACGTGTTAAATAAATAATAAAACACTTCTACAAGAAGTGTTTATGGAGGACCTACTGTGTAGCAGGAGCAACGCCAGGCATTATGGGTATAAGCAGTCTTCAACTCCTAAAAAGTTTACAAACTACCTGCTGGCCTAAGGAGGGGCGCAGGGATGCTGGCAACAGTCTTTTTCTTCATCCAGGTACCACTTACATGGGTGCTTGCATTGATAATCATTCAATGTACATTCTATTGGTTTGTGTGTTTCTTCCAAATGTCCCAGTGTTCACCATAAAAAGGGCTTAAATAGGGAAGTAAAGGAGAATTTGGGAATTTGAAGCAAAAGCAAGAAGCCAATGAACTAAGCACAAATATTGAGCTTTGATTATGATTAGAATAAGAAACATAATAGATGACATAAGAAGTAGGACTTTTGCAACAGAAGTGTAACTAGTAAACAAAAAGCCAGACTGAGACACTCCCCCAAGGACAGTATGATAATAGAAAATGTAAAAGAAAAGCAAAGAGAAATAAAGGATAGAAACAGACATCTGACATCTTGATAATTAGACATCTAGAAAGTCAGGGAAATAGTAGAGGGAGAGGAATAACTGAAAACATGATAGATGTTTCTAGAAAGATGAAATAACTTTGTTCAAAATGGTACACACAATGTCAGACTAGTTATTAAACAAATTTGTTAGGGGAAAACTAACTGAAAACAAATGAGCTAATTAAATTTAAAAGATGGAAAAGTAGAAAAACAGCTAAAAGTAAATATATGTAAGCAATAAGCACAAGGACTGAATTCAATGAAATATAAAAATAACAAAGACAAACAAAATCAAATTTTGAGGCAATGAAAATTTAATGAGACCTCTGGCAAGACTCCTAAGGAAAATATAATACATTCAAAATGAAAAGGGGAAATGGCTATATGTACACACCTTTAAAATGCAAAATCTTACGACCAAGCCTATACCTATGAATTTGAAAACTTAGATAATATGGATACTTTTTTGAAAGATATAAAGGTCAAAACTACAGGAAGAAATAGAAAACTAAAATGGAGAAGGGAAAATCAAAGAAATTGTCATGGGAAGCAAAGAATCGCCTTCCAAAGAGCCCTGTCCTGATAATATTACAGTTGGGGCGTCCTCCCACATTTTCATGAGCAGACCATGCCTCTTACATGCGTGGTTCTAGAACACAGAATGAAACAGAGTTTTTGAGATCATTTTGTGAGGCTGGTTCATTCATATTTCCAAAGCCAGCTAAGAATAGTACAAAAGAAGGGAATTACTGACCAATGTTACCCATGTCACCGAATCCAATAGGACACTACAAAAACAATTAATTTTGACCAATTTAGATTTATTCTAGGAATGCAATAATTCTTCAGTGTCAGAAAACATATAACGCAGTTAACACATTAGTGGACACCACAAAATTCATATTAATTTAAACTGAATTCAGCTCAAGACATAGACAGAATTTAATCAATTTCACGACATGGTAAAGACAGTGAACCGAAAATCCATAGCATATATATTTATGAAGAAATTAGGTGCATTCCCTTTGAGATTATACAAAGGATCGATGTCCTTTGTTGTTGGAAATGCTTAACATAGCATTGGAGTTTCTGAACATCGCTATGTGTACAGAAGAAAATCAAGGCTTTGAAAAATGTAAGAAGACAGATTGTGACTGCAGATGATACAATCTACATACTGGATAAGACTGCAGCCACTGCCGGCCCACAGCCTGGTTTCAAATCCAAGCTCTGCACTTTGAAGCTGTGTGACCTGCACCTTTCCTGGTATCTGATTCCCTGTCTGTAACATGAAATAAATAAGAATCCACCTCCACATGTAAGTAAGTGAACACAAGCCTGGCGCAGTGGCTCTTGCCTGTAATTCCAGCACTTTGGGAGGTTGAGGCAGGCAGATCACGAGGTCAGGGGTTCAAGACCAGCTTGACTAACATGGTGAAACCCGGTCGCTACTTAAAAATACAAAAATTAGCCAGGCATGGTGGCGTGCACCTGTAATCCCAGCTACTTGGGAGGCT